TTAGAGAATAATTTGTACCATTTATGTTGACAGCTTTTAACTCTATGGTATTACCATTTTTAATAATAGGTAGCTTGGTACTTTTGTTCCATGCTAGAGCGTCTTGTATGCCGTGCTGATTCTGTCCTAAATATCTTGCTGTTCGTTGTTTTTTTACCTCCTTACTTAATCCTCGCCAATTTTCTATTTCTTGTGAGGCAAGAATTTCTTCCGAACTTTTCAATGCGAAACACGATAAGCAAATGCGCTTTTGTCCATATCCTTCTTCTTCTTCTTCTTCTTCTTCATCACAAATTACTGAACATTCTTGTAATGAATGAACAAATATTTTACAAATCGCACAAACATGTGCAGTTGGTGTATCATTATTTAGACAAGCTGGACATTTTGTTGCAGTTTGTGCAGTTTCAATATTTTGCATTTCTTTTTTTTGTTCATGCATGTATTTTCCTCTTCTGAGAACATACTATTCTCTTTTGCGTTTACAATCTTTAATTTACCATGTAAAAAGTCTAAATGAATTTTTATAAATTCGTCCACTCTTATAGGTAAAGTATGATTTTGTAATATATTATTTTTTAATTTATTAAACTCTCCTTCGACTGCTGCACTAGACGCTGGAACTCGTCTATATCCAAAATTATCGCGACAAACACATGACCATAAAGGAAAAGTGTTTATATGTTTTAATAAACGTTCCGCTAAACGTGGGAAATAATGAGCGTTGTCACGATCACCAACTTCGTTTAAGTTTTTCTCAACTTCTTTATTGATTTGAGCAACCCATTCTGACCATTCGTTATCCAGATCTTCAATTATATCATTTTCATCAGTATTTATATATCTTTCTTCCAAACCTTCATTATTTTCATAATCCGATATACCTATAAACAAATTTTTAGATACCAAATACATGAAATTTTAAAATTTGTATTTGTTTTTTTAATGAAAAATTTAAAAAAATAATTCAATATAAGTACTAATAAAACATAAAATATTTACGTCTATTTAGTATGCGTTAAATACAGGCGTGTGTGTAAATTCATAAATGTGTTAGTACATAAAAATGAACTGTTTCTAATGCTTATCCAAAATAAAAAAGTAAAATTAAACAAAATAATTTTTTGTAAAATTTTAATGTAGATTAGATATATGCGTATTATATTATTTATTAGTATGTTAATGCGATTTATATATTGATAAATAATATATATTTATTTTAAATAAAACTCTTACAAAAATTATTTCTGTAATAAAGCTACAAACTTACACATCTATACATAAGTAACTTCGACAAAATAATTCCAATATGTGTTAAAAAATCAAATCATTTATTAAAAATTGAAATATTGCAAGAGTTTGTTTATATTGTTTTATATTTGAATAGAATGCCCCAAATTTCGAGAAATCCTGTATACTAATTTAATAAAAATAAAAATTAATATTGTATTGAGAATAATTGAAAGAATTTACCTGTTATAACAGACTTTATTCTATTCTTTTCTCTCTCACAGCAAGTTTCTTCGCCATTTGCCAATCTACCTTCCGTTTCAAATCGTGCAATTGTTAATATGGCTTTAAGCATGATAGCAGCTTCGTCTATGTTTCGGCACATAATTAGTTGACCGATAGCAGCCATATAAAAAACTTTTATTCTTCGTGAAAGAGCTTTTAAAAAATTTGCCCATGTTTTAATAAAGTGCGCAACGTCTATGCGTATATAACACTTTGGCGTGACTTTACTTTTGCAAGCATTTGCATAATCTTTTATTGTTGTATAAGATGTAAAACATCGTATAACAGCATTTAATAATGCTGCAGAAAAATCTACAACAACTTCGCGTGGATAAGGAGCACCCATTCTACACCATTCTAGTAACCAGAAATGGATATTGTTGGTTGTGTGCCTTTCGGACAACATTTGTGTTACCAAAAATTGTTTATCATTATAGTTTATAATTGCTTGATATAAAAAGATATGTTGTGATAAAATATTTGATCTGATTAATTTTTTTACTATGCTACCTGTAGCATCAATATATATTGTACTTATTTTTGATAAACAATATTTTTGATACACTTGTAATTGGTGATTCGTCCAATAATAAATAAAAAATGGATCTTGGCCAATATTATGAACACAATTAGCATAAATATTGTGTTTCATAATACATAAGGCTTTTAGAGGATCGGAGTCAAAAAATTGCAATTTTTTATATTCATTTTTGCTACATGCAATGTTGATGATTTGTATAAATGCGGAGGTTTCGGATCTCCAAGTATTATAAGTTCATTAGCTTTTTTCGCACGATATATTTCAATTGGTTTAGTACGTAATTCTTTTCCAACTGTTGTTCTCAATGGTTTTCTTAAATAACGTTTACCACATTTACCAGTGCCTTTAAATATTTTACAGTTTAAAAGCACAACCTCTGTATTATTATCTTTTTCTATATCACACCGTAAATTACTACCACATTTGCAAGTACCTGAGTAAAAAAATCATTTTTTATGTAATTAACAATAAAAACAGAAATCATTGCAATTTTTAATAATTGTATAAAACAAATATATAAATGTTCTTTTCCTATTGTACTTACTCCCAACTTAAAATTTATGTAGATATACCTACATTTAAGAGAAAATAATTGTATAATAAAAAATTTATATTTACCATTTATGTATCCAGATGTACCAACATTGAACAAATAATGATTTCGAAACTGAAATCCACAGTTGCGACTGATGCTGTTCAGAGCGTAAGACTAAAGAATCACGATGAGGTACGTATCAGGCTGATACTAATGTAACCATGCAATATTTAATTGAATCGTTATTTTTTCTTGAAAGAAAGTTTATGATAGCATATTTTACATTCATTGTATATACATATTTACAATTATTATAAAAATTATATAAATATTTTTATCATCTCTGTCAAGTTTTAAGCTGAAGATTCACGCTTTTGAACGATGT